ATCTTTATGGTATGTATCAGCATTCTTTGGGTATATGCCCAAGAGTGGGATGGCTGAGTCTTGAGGTAGTTTGATTCCTAATTTTCTGAGAAACCGCCATACTGATTTCCATAGTGGTTGTACAAGTTTACATTCCCACCAACAGTGGAGGAGTGTTCCCTTTGCTCCACATCCTCTCCAACATTGGTTGTCATTGGTGAAAAAACTCTTTTTTTTTAAACTAATCCCTTCTTCAAGCATTCCCAGGTGTCTCACCAGATCTGCTGAAGACAACAGTGAAGTGTGAGGCTGGCTGTCGCTGGGCCGCACAGCTGGGCAGGGAACATGGGCAGTGCATGGCCTGGCCGAGAGGAGCTGCAGGTGCTCACATGTAGACGGGGCCTGAGAGTGTGTGGTGGTGGCAGCAGCAGTAAAAGCCTGAGCAGTGCTGAGGCAACTGACCCAGTGTGGCAGCAGCCTGAGGAAGGGATCCAGGGGAAGCCAGCAACCCACAGTACAAAGTGGAAACATGCGGACATGCCTAAGAAGCCCACGTGGCAGGAATCAAGGGCACAGGGCTGCATGAAGGCAGAGCCAACCAGTGGTAGGCGGCTAACTCTGGCAGCATTTGGGGCCCGGCCACCTGTGGTGTTTGGGGCTGGAGATGGGCAGCAGCTGGAGGCTGCTATTGAGAGGCTGCAATGGGGAAAACCCCCAGAATCCCATGGAAGGCCTGGAGGGAGGAGGAAAAGCCAGCCGTGGTGGTGACTCCAGCAGCTGCAAAGCCAGAGGCAAGCAGCTACCTCACCTCATGATCTCCTGCCCCACGTTGGCTGCCAGATGAAGTACTTATCTAATTATTCTTTTTCAATAAAAACTCAAGAGTCAGATATCGGGGTAAGAACCTGGTTGATCAGAGAAACAGCAGAGAAGTGACCAGTGACCTCACTCTCTTTTTCTTCAATCCAAAAGGGCCGAGAATCTTTCTAAACCCCTCCCTACTACTTCCTGTGTCTCTCTATATGTCCTCAGTCCTACAAAATCTCTGTGGCTAATTTTGGTCAGCTAGTAGTTAGCTCTACCCTCTACTTTAAAGTAAACTTTGTTGTCAGTTTTGGGAGTATCAGAGTGCAATCAAATATCCCACAACAGAAGAATGCTGAGTATAGTTAAAAGATTGATCTGAATTATTCTGGTGGTGATAGGCCTGTTCAGCTTGGCTGTGGAGTAGGATACATGTTTTATATTTCATTAATTGTCATAGAAACACACATACACAAAGATTAGGAGAAAAACCAGGGTATGTTGTTTGTTTTTGCTCTTTTGGGGGGCCTGCTACCCAGTTCCCAAATAAATCATTCACAGAGGCTTATTCTTATTTATAAATGCCGGGTCTTAGCTTGGCTTGTTTCTTGCCTGCTTTCCTTAATCTTAAATTATCCCCTCTACGTTTTGCCTCTGGGCCTTTTCCTTTTCTTACTGTTGTGTATCTTACTTTCACTCTTACTCCATGGCTGGCTGTGTAGCTGAGTGGCTGATCTTAGGTGTTCTCCTCCTTCTCTTCCTCTTCCTAGATCTCTCTTCTCTCAGATTTTTCTTTCTATTAATTCTTTCTGCCTGCCAGCCCAATCATCCTTTCTCCTGCCTTGCTATTGGCCGTTCAGTTCTTTTTTTTTTTTTTGGTTTTCCGAGACAGGGTTTCTCTGTGTAGCTTTGCGCCTTTCCTGGAACTCACTTGGTAGCCCAGGCTGGCCTCGA